CTGACCAGGCCATATCCTCAGTCCAACACCCAAGTTTTCTAGTCATTAACTATTCATTTATTTATGTAGACAATGTCTCCCTAAGTAGCCTGTCTTATTTAAAGTCTGACACAAGTCAGGGTCATTTGGGAAGAGTGTAACAAGGCAAAGTTTTCTCCATTTTGTCTCAGCTGAAGCAGTCTTTGGTTTCTACCAAAGGACTGAAAAGTCCTGTGGGAAAGCACCCAATCCTGTTCTAGAAACTTGGGGCCAAAATGCCCCAGCTAACTACGTGATCCTGGCTCTTTTTTTTTTTTTTCCCTCAGCTTTTTTTTAAGATTTATTATTATGTATATATCATTCCTCCTCATGTATCCCTGAAGGCCAGAAGAGGGCACCAGATCTCATTAAGGATGGTTGTGAGCCACCAGTGCTCTTAACTTCTGAGCCACCTCTCCAGCCCTGTGTTCTTGGCTCTTAAACTGCTTCCCTGCTTCCCCCTGCAACTGCCAAGTAGGATGTGGCTTTTCTGTGTTCTTTGTCTTAAAACTTCCTGTAATATGCATCTGAGCCTCCCCTGTGCAAAGTGTTTTATCCTTTTCCTCTGGAAGGTGGTAGCAGACTTTCAGTCAGTCCTTTGTTGTGTTGAATGGTCTTTGGAATTGAAACAATGTTCACCAGATGGGCCTGTGCACCAGCCTTTGGTGCATTTTCTTGACTAATGATTGATGATGGATGTGGGAGGACCCAGCACACTGTGTACAGTGCCACCCTGGGGCTAGTGGTCCTGCAAGCTGTAAGAAAGCAGGTTGAGTGAGCCATAAGGACAAGCGGGTGAGCAGTGTCTCTCCAAAGCCTCTGCATCAGGTCCTGCCCTGACTTCCTTCAATGATAAACTGTGATGTGGGAGTGAAATAACCCTTTCCTCCCCATGTTCCTTATGGTCTAGGTGTTTTATTTTGATATTTTTTAAATCAGCCCTAGACACCCAAACTGAGACACTAGAACTCCAGTTTTCCTGCCTTGGCTTCCCCAGTGCTGAGAGCACAGGTGTGTACCACTATGTCCAGCAGTAATCTTCATGCTTTTTATCGTGAGAATGAGGATCTTCATCACTTTGTAAAGAAGAAGCACTGGAGACTCAGAGTAGTAAAAGTCACAGTTTAGACTGGCGTTGGTGGCGCACGCCTTTAATCCCAGCACTCAGGAGGCAGAGGCAGGCCGATCTCTGTGAGTTCAAGGCCAGCCGGGTCTCCAGAGCGACTGCCAGGAGAGGCTCCAAAGCTACACAGAGAAACCCTGTCTTGAAAAACCAAAAAAGAAAAAAGAAAAGAAAAGAAAAGAAGAAAAGGCAGAGTTTATTATACAGTCTTGCATGGTCTGGTGGCAACCCAGACAAACTGAGCACAGAGAAGAGTTTTTTTATAGCCCTGGATGACGGTCCCTTCCTCCTTTACTGCTTTGGCTGCGAATCCAGGGCGTCTGCACGATCTCACGGTCATCCACTGCTGACATTTGTCTATTTCTCAGCCCACATGATGTATTGGTTAATTTACATATTTTATATCCTGCTTATCTTAAGGCCTTTCAGGACCATGGACTTTATGTCTGAAAGTCATCAGGCAAGCTTGACTCTTAGTCATTTTCTTCTCTAAACTTCTGAGTTTGGGTGAGGCTAGCTAGACTAGCAAGCGCCAGCAGGGCACAGACTTCCTGTTTATCTGTAGGTTGGTGTGTGCTGGCTTAAGGCACTTTTGTTTTGAAAAATGTGTTTTATTTTATTTTTTACATTTATCATTCTAAAAGACAGAATTCACAAGTAAAATTAAACATTCATATATACTGTCTATTTCTTTTTCATCTTTACAATAACCATTAGAAATGCAGTATTGTGTAACAGGTACAAACACACTTTTGTAATATTGGGCTATTTTTCAAACACTACTGATTCCTTTCAAAAGTTTAGTTGCCATCCATTGGCCAATATGATTTTTCTTATTTGAAGCCTTGAAAGCAATTTTTTGACTTAGCTGACTCCTTGAAACTATTTTACTATTTAAAATTAAGTTTATAGGGACAAGTGAGATAGCTCAGCAGGTAAAAGCTCTTCCTACACATAAAGGTGGAAGGAAAGAATGTACTCCATGAAGTTGTCCACTGATCTCTACATACATGTGTGTGCACGAGCACACACACTATACACACATACAATAATAAATAAAATTATTGTTTAATATTTAAAGAATAAACAGTCATAAATTCAACAACTTGAGCATTTAATCCAATTTACAAATCTTACTTTATTTCTAAGTGAGGCAACTTTTAACATCTACCTTAAGGTAGGTTGTTTTTGTTTTTTGAGACTTGGTCTCACTGTGTGCTGCTGGCTTGAACCTGGATCCCCTTACTCAGTCTCCTAATTGTTAAGGTCACAGGTGTGTGCCAGCAGGTTCAGTTAATGTGGCTTTTAGTCATATTTGGTGTCACTTACAAAGTTAGAGACACTCCAGTTAAATATCTAGATAGACTTTATTCTTTTTATTTAACACTGCTAGCTAGCAGAACTTATCCAAATGTTCAGAACAATATGAATTTACGAAAATTATAATTCCTCTAAACGATGTTTTCTCAAACATTACTTATACCCTTTGTAAATTCATCTTAATCTCAACTTAACTCTAAAATTAAAAACTCACTAACACATTTCTGATTTCAAATAACTAAACTATTAATATAATATTAGAACCTCTAATGAGGTAAATTTTCTTAGCCATTGTATAAAAAGTCTGAAACACACATAAATCAGTCCCTAAGCCGGGAGTTGGTGGCACATGCCTTTAATCCCAGCACTCAGGAGGCAGAGGCAGGCGGATCTCTGTGAGTTCGAGACCAGCCTGGTCTCCAGAGTGAGTTCCAGGACAGCCTCCAAAGTCACAGAGAAACCCTGTCTCAAAAAACCAAAAAACAAACAAAAGAAATCAGTCCCTAAGTTTATGTAAAATGATGTTTTGTTGAGCATTCATTATTTCCATGTGTATGGGCCTAGTGAGACAGTCTTATCAGGTATGGAAATTGGGGCCACTACCACAAGCAAGTTGCTTTAACTGGTCCAATAGTACAGGGTCTCTGCTCAGTGGCTGGTAATAAGCCCACAACCAAGACACCCCAGAAGCAGTTTTCTTCAATACTAAGATACTTTGAGCTCTGTATTTTCATCACTTTGCAATCACACTGTAACAGCATTCTTCACACATATGGCTATCCCACAGACTCCACCCCCTGGGGTCACATTACACATTACCTAATAAGGAAGGTTGGATTCAATTCATTTATGTATCCTCGGTCCCATTATTTTTCCATCTTGCATTTATTTGACAATTTCCTACATGCAGACAATGATCATACCCATCCCCAGCTCTTGCCACTCAGCCTGACACCCACCCCCTCCTTCCTATTTAGTTGTGGGTGTTTTGTTTTTGGTAACCCACCAAGTCTAACTAATGATGCCTTCTAGAATCCTGACTGATCTTGTTGCCTTGATGTCAGATCCTATTCTCTCTCTCTAACACAGGATCTCATTATTTACTCTGACTAATCTAGAACTATGCTATTATGTAATTCGATTGGCCTCAAAAGCACAGAGATCAGGATGATTCTGCCTCAAGAGTGCTGGGACTATAGGTTTGTACCACCTTGTCCAACCAGATTCTACTCTTAACTGCTTTCATATTTTCCACATTTATATTCCTAACTGTGCGCTGAGACTTTGCATAATTTGTTTTGTTTTGCTCATTTTATCAGTCTTTACCTGAAACTCTTCTTCAGACTGTTATATGAGAGGAATAGCCTAAGGAAAAGACACACTTCCTAACATTTCTCTAGGGTCCTCCATGTTTCTTGGCTTTTCTGGCACTGTGGATTGTAGGCTGGTACTCCTGTGTTATATGTCTAAAAATACATATATGAGCAAGTACATACCATGTTAGTCTTTTTGTGATTGGGTTACCTCACTCAGAATGGTTTCTTCTAGTGCCATGCATTTGCCTTAGAATTTCAAGATTTCATTTGTCTTTTTCCACTGAGTAGTACTCCATTGTGTAAATGTACCACATTTTCTCTATCCATTCTTCAGTTGAGGGGCTTCCAGGTTCTGGCTATTACAAATAATGCTGCTATGAACATAGTTGAACAGATGTCCTTGTTGTATAAATGTGCATCTTTTGGGTATATGTCTAAGAGTGGAATTGCTGGATCTTGTGGTAGACTGATTCCCATTTTCCTGAGGATGTGCCATACTGATTTCCACCAGCAGTGGAGAGAAAGGAGAAGAGGAGGGAGCAGGAAGATTGAGTCGGGGAAAGAATTAAGGAGAGCAAGAAAAGAGATAACATAATGGAGGGATCCATTATAGGTTTAAAGAGAAATCTGGCAGTAGGGATATGCACAGAGACCTATAAGGATGACACCAACTAACAATCTAAGCAATAGTGGAGAGGCTACCTTAAATGCCCTTCCCTAATAATGAGATTGATGACTACCTTATATGCCATCCTAGAGCCTTCATCCAGTAACTGATAGAAGCCAAAGCAGACACCCACAGCTAAACACTGAGGCAAACTCCTGGAATCCAGTTGCAGAGAGGGAGGAAGGATGAGCAAAGGGGTCAAGCCAGGCTGGAGAAACCCACAGAAACAGCTGACCTGAACAAGGGGAAGCTCATGGACCCCAGACTGATAGCTGGGAAACTAGCATAGGACAACCCAGACCCCCTGAACATGAGAGTCCATTAGGAGGCCTGGGCAATCTATGGAGCCTCTAGTAGTGGATCAGTATTTATCCCTAGTATACGAATGGACTTTGGGAGGCCATTCCACATAGAGGGAAACTCTCCCAGCCTAGACAAAAGGGGGAGGGCCTAGGCCCTGCTCCAAATGATTTGACAGACTTTGAAGATTCCCCATTGAAGGCCTCACCCTCCCTGGGGAGCAGAAAGGGGATGCCATGGGATGAGTGTTGGGGGTGGGGGCAGGGGAGGAGGGGAGGAACTGAGATTGACATGTAAAACAAGCTTGTTTCTAATTTAAATAAAAATATAGTACAAAAAAAAAAAAAAAAGACATACTTCCTGGCTCTCTGGGGTATGCTCCTTAACGTTTCCCTGCTCTTGGGTAGCAGGTCTTGGCCTGTGAAGGCTTGGTCTTCGATGATGTATGTTGGGTAGATCTAGGTTGGAAAGGCTTAGATTGGGACTGATGGGGCCTATGTGGCTTGAACTGAGTAGATCTGGATGGAGAAGATTTAGCTTGGGAGGGCTGGGAATGAGGGGGTTTATCTTGGGAGGGCTGGGAATGAGGGGGTTTAGCCTGGGAGGGATGAGGATGAGGGGATTTAGCTTGGGAGGACTGAGGATGAGGGGGTTTAACTTGGGAGGGCTGGGAATGAGAGTTTTTTTTCTGAGAAGATTGAATGGGCTCTGGCTCGACATGTTTGACCTGGAACTTCGGTTGATGGGAGCTGAACTGGAAGGTAGATGAAAGTTTACTCCCAGACATGGATTGAGACCCTGCTTGGAAAGCTGGATCTGAAGACCTTCCTTTTGTCATCTGTTGAGATCCTTGATGAGGAACTGATACTTTTCCTTCTTGAACAGCCCCTGTTGGCTGACAGGATGGAGAATGAGGGTACTTAGTCTGAGAAACTGCCCTCATAGGTTTTCTAGTTACGCCACTCGGGTGCATCCTCTGGGCATAGGCTTTCACAGGCTGTGGGTTCCTGGCTGCTTTTGTTGCTTGTAAGCCGGGAGAATGAGAGTGACCTACAGGAGAGACCACTGTTCCAGGCCTTTGAAGGGTTCTCTCTGCCTGTAGGCTCTCAGGAAGGGTCTGTACACGAGAAGTCTGTCTTTGTGATCTCCCAAATGTTCCACTGGAGTGATACCCCCGAGAAGCTCCTGAAAATTTCATGAATCTTTGCCCCGAATAAAATCTCCAGGGTTGGAAGTGCTGATTACCAAAGCTTTTGCCTCCACTGTGAACCCTTGTATTCTGATGGGGCAAAGGATAGAACCATTTAGCTCTCTGCTGTGACCCAAAGTGGGAGCTCAGAACCCAGGGGGCTTTCAAGGAAACATGGTAAAAGTTACTTCCAAATGTAGTAGGCAGAGGCCATGGGCGGACTGGATGCAGCACCAATACTGGAGTCTGGTGCAGGTTCTGAGAACTCTGGCTGTCCTCATGTTGGGCTCCAGGCTCTCTGATTGGCACCTGAGCTCGGCTTTCAGATGGGCTTTTTGTCTGACTACGTATTTGTTGGTTCTCATCGTCAGTCATTCTGGGGGAATCTTGAATATCTTGAGTGATTCCAAAGTCCTGGTCTACCTGAATCCCCAACTCCCTGGCCAGAGAGGCCATATCTTCTAGGGACACACATCTGAGTGAAGAGGACGTTACTTCCTGGAGGGCAGCTTGAAGGGCCTCCATCATCTTCCTTCTATCCCCAGCTTCCTCCACTTCCCAAAACAGTAGCTGTGACGGCTTCAGTCCCAGGATCCTTTGGAAAATCTGGGCCTCTTTACTCTCCTTGGCCTGGGGACTGAGGACAAAGTAGCATCTTTCAAAAGCATCTTCTCCTAAAAACCTCAGCAAGTCCCATTCCTTCTCACCAAGGCAGTCAGTGAAAAAGAACACAGCTGAGGAAACTTCCACCAGAAAACCAAATTGTATCCAAAAGCTTTCAAGATCTCCATGCAAGTTGGCCACGGCAACAGGCTTTTGGAAAACAGGAGGAGTTTCCTTTAGCTCCTTGTTGTCAGGAAAACACCAAGCTACCTCCACCAGGCCACCAGAAATTTGCCGAGGAAGCATGGGAACAGAAAAATCCTGATGGAGAAAGATTTTGTGTGGCTTCTGTTGGGAGGAACTGAGCAGTGTGTTAAGGATTTTGGACTTGGAGAGGCTACAGGGTCCTAGTCGAACAAAAGAGACGACTGGCATCTTCATGGAAATCAGAAATTTTTCTGTTTCTCTGGGGGACCCTCCTGAGGACTGCACTGGATATGGCTTTAAGTCTTTCATGGCCCCCAGCATTAAGATGCTTTTGTTATTTTCTGCATCTGGCAACAGTAGGGGAAGAGCGAACTGGCAATGGTACATGTTTGACATGACTTCACGTTGCAAAGAGGTATCTGAACAAAGCATGGAGGCACAAAGGACGTCGAGGGGATCCATGGTTTGTATGTCTTCAATTTCTAAATTCTCTATTCCAGCCAGCAATTCCCCTTTGCTCACCTCATCCACCATCTTGGGCCTAAGGATAAAATCTCTGGCTGTCAGGTCTAGTGCCTGAACTTTCATCAGGAAATTCCAGGCTAAATCTCCCAGAGTTGAAGGTGTCCACTCACTTCCTCGGTCTATGGAGAACTGCTTCACAAACTCTGGGAGAAGCTTTCTGCTTCTATCCATGTTCAAACAGGACAGGACATGGTGAAATACTCTCTTCCTTTCTGTAATGCAGAGAGTACTCATTATTGCCTTGTTCAGAATCTGTGTCCTTTGCTTAAAAACATGTCACTGACAATTTCACTGCCAAAGGTTGAAACAATACAAAATCAAAGTCTCCTTTCACCACCCTTCCTGCCCTGTTTTCCTTCTAAGAGGCATACTAATTTTGCATAGTATGTGTCTTAGTCTGTTTTCTGTTGCTGTAATAAAGACACTGACCAAAAGCACCTGGGAGGGGAAAGGGATTATTTCAGCTTACATATCCCAGTCACAGTCTATCATAAAAAGAATTCCAAGACATGAACTCAAGGCAGGAATACCTGAAGGCAGGAACTGAAGCAAAGGCCATAGAGGAAAATTCCTTACAAGCTTGTTCTTCCCGGCTTGTTCAGCCTGCTTTCTAATACAACTAGAGAACCTGCCTAGGAAGGGTGGCACTGCCCACAGTGGGCTGAGCTCTCCCACATCAATTATCAATCAAGAAAATGTCCCCCACAAATATGTCTGAGGAGAAAGGCTTCCCCAATCAAATATTGCAGCTCTGAAGGGAAAAGTTTTTCTAATTACAAGGGTTACAGCCCGAAAAGAGAAAGGCTTCCCCAATGCAAGTGTTGCAGCTCTGAAGGGGAAAGTATCCTTATAGTTGGAGCCAAGGAATACCACAAAGTTACACTACACACAACAAACCTCACACAAAACATTCATTGAGAAAGTCACAGAGGGAGTCTGCCTCTGCTCTGCGAAAAGCAAAGCAGCGGAGAACTAAGTGGGAGGCAGGCTTATATAGGGCTCCTTGGGGGTGGAGTGCTCCAAGGTAGAGATTTCCATGGTGGAGACTGGTAGAATGTCAAGTCTTGAGCTTGGGTGAGTTCAGGCATTGGTGTGATTTCAAGATCAGGGATTGGTGGGATTTCAGACTAAGGGATTAGTAGGTTTTCAAAACCCAGAAGTGAGCTCAAACTTTTTACCCTATAAAAGATGGTTAGTAAGCTTGACAAACTGAGTGTCATCCCCTGGACTCACATAGTAGAAGGTAAGAACCAGCTCCCACAAGCTGTCCTCTGACCTCTACATGCATGCCATCGTACACATGCTCATACATATGCTCATACACATGCACACAAAATAAAATGTAATTAAACAGTATCAGAATTTACATACTGGGTATTCCTCATTTGGAACCCCTTACATTCTTGGACATTCTCTTCACTTTCCCTCAATAAATCTATCTTTGCTCTGCTTTTAAAAAATTACACACTGTTTCTGTTTTATCCTTATCTCCCATTTTTACATATATTTTTCTAGTTACTAGAAATAGTACTGGTAGAGAAAAACCAGAGCAGGTTTTATTCAGAACAGATGGCAAGATAGCACAAGATGTTTCATCTATTTTGTTTTGTTGTTCCCAGGAGCTTGGGGCAGGTGTGGGTCAGGGTTTCAGGTAGCTCAGGATGGCTTTGGTCCTCCTCCCTCTACCTCCCAAATGCTAGGATTTACAAATACATATCATTGTGCCCTATATAACGTAAGGTATAAATAAAACTTGGTCTTGGGGTATAGCTCAGTTGGTACAATGCTCATCTAGAGTTTATGAAGTCATGTGTTTAATCCCTGGCACTGGAAAATAAACAAACAAGAAAACAAACAAAAAAATAGGAGATAGCACAAGCCTATACTCCCAGCACTTGGGAGAGAGAAGCAGAAGTATATGAAGTTCAAAGTCATTCTTGGCTACATAGTAAGTCTGAGGACTGCCTGAGATACACAAGACCCTGTCTCAAAGAAAAGGTTCTTGAGCTAAATGTTTGGTAGAGCACATGCCTGCTCTTTAGAGTCTATTCTATGCTTTTACTCACACATCAAATTCTTTTGTACTTTCAGTGGGGTGTGTGTGTGTGTGTGTGTGTGTGTGTGTGTGTGTGTGTGTGTGTGAGAATGCAGACAAAACATATCCAAACCGATGGGATACTCTGAAAGCAGTACTAAGCAGAAAGTTCATTGCATTAATGACCACATGAAGAAGCAGGAGAATAATCACACTAGAGAATTAATAGCACATCTGAAAGCTTTAGAAAATGAAGATTTAAAATTTATGTAAAGTTTTACCAGCCTACAATCCACACTGCCAGAGAAGCTAGTAAACAAGAAGGACCCTAAGAGAGACATACATGGCTCCCTGGAGAAGGGGAAAAGGTCAAGATCCCCTGAGCAAATTGAGAGCATGGGAAGAGGGGGGAGAGAGCTACGAGAATGAGAAGGGAAGAAGAGGAAGGATGCAGAGGTCATGAGGGAGCAGAAAGGTTGAGTCAGGGGAAGAATAGAAGAAAGGATATGTGATGGGTAGGGTTTTAGTTGGGGGGGGGGAGTTGGGGGGAGGACCGGAGGGAGAAGGGAACTGGAATTATCATGTAAAACAATCTTGTTTCTAATTCAAATAAAAAAATGATTTAAAAAAATAAAAATCACTAATTGTATACTTAAAAAAAATGTCTCTGTGTCAGGATGGTAATCTATGGACCAGACTCAGACATCCTGAGACCTCCACTATGCACTGTAAGTTCCTCTACTGATGGTTTCCACTTCAATGGTTAAAACTTAAAGCTGCAAAATCCAATCTCTTTCTGGTTATGAAGCCACTAAAATTAAAAGTTGCTTTAATCTGAAAACAGAAGGTAATTTCTAAAGTGAATAGCTAGTGGCTGGAGATACAGATCAGGCAGTAGTATGCTTGACTGGCATACATACAGGTTCCATCTCTAGCACCAAATAAAACCATGTGTGATGGATCAACTTTAGAGGTGGAAGCTGGAGGATCAGAAACTCAAAGTCATCCTCAGATACATGGTGACTTCAAGGCTATAGAGTCTCACAGCTGGTCAAGGTGTTGAGCATAAGTGACTAGCCAGTGCTTAGCACTTACAGGAACATTCACCTGATCCTTCCCAATGCACAGAGAACATCGTGGATGAAGGGATAGATAGGGACATGGGCCTAAAAATGCTGTCTTCCAGGCATGAAATGGTCATTGTTTTCATGAATTCATGGGGGATGCAGCTGCCTGCACAGGGCCTGCACAAAACTCTGCTTTTATGGACATTGTCATGGATGGCTGAGAGGAGCTATCAGCAGTTGATGAGCCACTCATGTTCCAGTGTTTAACTGAACACTGATGCCCCTCAGGGTGGCCCTGGACAACTCAATGAGTCACAAAACAAAAGGACCTGACAGTGAGCAGGAGACTTGTTGGGTACAGGAGGAGCTGGGGTGTGCGATCAAAGAGGGTGGTATATGTAACCTGAATATATGAACTTTGATTCATATATGAGATTGTCAGTGAATAAGTTTTTTGTTTGTTTGTTTGTTAGACAAAGTTTCTCTGTGTAGCTCTGGAGCCTGTCCTGGCACTCATTCTGTAGACCAGGCTGGCCTCAACTCAAAACGATCAGCTTGCCTCCGCCTACCAAGTGCTGAGATTAAAGGTGCACGCCACCACCACCTGGCTATGTTGGCAAATAAGTTAATTAAAACATACATAAAGGGGCTGGAGAGATGGCTCAGATGTTAAGAGCACCGACTGCGCTTCCAAAGGTCCTGAGTTCAATTCCCAGCAACCACATGATGGCTCACAACCATCCATTATGAGATCTGATGCCCTCTTCTGGTGTGCAGATATACATGGAAGCAGAATGATGTATACATAATAAATAAATAAAATCTTAAAAAAATTAACTTGTTAAACAATAAAGACTCATTGCTTTTAAAAAAAAACACATAAAAAATAAAAAAGGCATCCCCTGCTGCATGATGGGAAGTGACTTGAGAAATCTATGTACTGATAATCAGTGTTAACTTCTGCTCATATGGACAGCACACCATATTCAAGACTCTGAATCTGCAATTCAATAACCTTCAGATCATGAATATTTGGGGCAATATTATGTTTATTCTGAAGACGATGACTAACTTTTTTCTTATTATTAGTCCCTGAAAAATAACTATTTACATAGAACTTACATTTTGTTGGTATGAGTACTCTGGGAGTGATTTAAAGCACACAGGAGCTTGCAGTGGGAAGAGAAAGATAGAGGGATGGTTAATGTGCAGTAGAGTGCAAATAGTTAAGAATAACTTCTAGGGCTGGAGAAATGACTCAACCAGAATCACTAGCTATGCTTCCAGAGGTCCTTAGTTCACTTCCCAGCAACCACTTGGTGGCTCACAACCATCTATAATAGGACCCGATGCCCTTTTCTGGAATGCAGACATGCATGCAGACAGAGCACTTATACATACATACATACATACATACATACATACATACATACATACACTAATTAAATTTTTTAAAAAAAGAATAACTTGTAGGGCCAGCAAGATGGCTCTGCAAGCAAAGGTACTTTCTGCCAGCCTGATGACCTGAGTTGGACCCTTATGACTCACATGGTGGAAGGAGGAAAACAAATCCTGAAAGTTGACCTCTAACCTCCACACCCCTCCCAACACACACACACACACACACAAATACATACATACATAAACATGATTAAAAAGCTGGGTAATCCCATGAAATGGAAGAGTAACTTCAAATATTTTGTATCACAGTACATCTTTGGTTGAGAAAAATTAATTTCTCTAGACCAGCTAGTGTGAGAGCTACTTTGCTTTGTGTCTACTTTGAGACAGGACTTCATTAGCCCAGGCTGATATCAGACTCTTAGTCTTCCTTTCCCAGTTTCCAGAGTGCTGCCATTACCTGCATGGACCCCCACACCCAGAGAGACGATTCTGAATGTGCCCCCAAAGAAATCATACATGTTTAGAAAATAACTATGCCAATTACCCTCAGCTGATTATTACACATTGCTTATATTTATTGAAACAATATAATGTACTTCATGAATATGCATGTTACTATGTATTAGTTAAACTAAAAGTGTAATTTTAAAAATAATAAAACATGTAAGAGAATGTGTAGAGGTTGTATACAGGTATCAAGCCTCTTTTTTCGTTTGTTTGTTTGTTTGTTTTATGGTTTTTTGAAACAGGCTTTTCAGTGTGTAGTCCTGGCTAGCCTGACACTCACTATGTGCCTTAGGCTGGGCTCAAATTTTCAGTAATCCTTCTGCCCCAGGTTCCTGAGTGCTAGGACTTCAGGCATGAGCCACCAACCCTGGTTCACGATGCCATTTGAAACAAGGGGCTCGAGCAGTCACAGATTTGGCTAGCCAGATGAAGTCCTCAAATCTAGTTCCATTGGACACTGACTCTTTCTACTTTACAGTCTCCCACTTCCCCAGACCTGGGAACTCCTTTGTTCAATACCCGCCTCCAGAAAATCCCTCTTAGAGAAACACCAGATTTCTGATTAGTTGATTAGCCCTATCATGCCCCCTCTCCAGTATGTCTCTCCATAAGATGTCTAACTACATAGTCTCCATACCTTCAGTGCGTCTCTCTTCCTCTTCCAATGAAATGCCGCTTTCTGAAGCCTCACAACTTTCTTCATGAGAAAGCCCCATGGTTTCTTCATACTCCCGTTCCTCTTCACCATCATATACAAAGCACTCTAGGTCATCGAAATCCCCTTCCTCTACAATGGTCTCAACATCTTCAGGGTACCCAACAGACTCTTCATATTCCCCTTCTCCTAAGTACAGAGAATCGTCCGGCTCCTCGTGTCTTTGTCCATCATTTAAGTATGTGATACTCGTTGGAACTTCATACTCAACTCTTCCAAGTGAATGCTTGCTCTCCCTGGAGGAGCCTGCAGTTTCCCTAACATGGCTACTTTCCTCATACATGAAAGACTCAGATGTTTCCCAATCCACACATTCTTTCTCTTCAGAGAGCTCTGCAATCTCTTCATTCTCTGAGGTTTTTCTCCTGAAGGAATAGGGATCTGCTGCATCCTCTCTCCCCACCAGAGACCAGGCTGCTTCAGTCACCTGCTGTGGGACTTCTGAAAAGAAAAAATTTCATTATTGCCTCAGTTTTTCCAAAGAAAGGATTTTAAATCACCTTGAGTCTCAAGTCCTCAAAGCATTACCCGCTCACTTTCTTTTTCTTTTTCCTTCCTTTCTTTCAGACAGAGTTGTCTGTGTTGCCTAGGCTGGCCCAAATGCTTGAGCTCAAATATGTTTGTTCCTCGACCTTCCCCACTAGCTGAAGCTACAGGAATGCAATCAGTCTCTCTTCTTCATTTCACTAGAAGCTCCAATGCCCATTATGCCTAATCTAATGTGCATAGTAACCAATCAATCATGAGAACTTCCTTTTTTTTTGTGAGAGAAAAATCAAATCAACTGCTGTCTCTCAGAGCAGCCTCATAAATTAGTGGAGAAAATGTATTTGTTATGAATTAATTATGTTAATATGAATTACTATAATTAAATTAATAATTGTGTTAATTATACACTTAATGCGACCCATACTCAGAGCTCTTTGGGATAAGGAAACCCCAGTAACTCCTAATGAATGAGTTGATTACTGTACTGGAATAGTGTATTCTACAAATAGTAAAAGCTATTTTTCCAGGCATCTGAGGCTTGTGAAGGTTAGTTTTAATTGTCAATACAACTTAGAATCACCAGGGAAGAGAATCTCTGGAGAATTTTCTACATTGGGTTGGCCTTTGGGCATGGCTATGGAGGACTATTTTAAATTAAGTGAAGCGGGAAGACCCACCGAAGCCACTGTGGGGGGCAGTAATCCCTAGGCAGGGGGTCCTGATGTAGCAAGCAAGTATGCATGCATTCTTTCCTCCCTGCTCCTGACTAGCTCTCTCAGTCCTCTGCCCCTGTGACTTGTCCTACAGTGAAGAACTTTAACCCGGAATTACAAACTAAAATAACCCCACATACATTGCTTGTTGTCAGAGAACAGTAACTGAAAAGGAAACTAGAACAAGATTTGTCCTATAATAAGGATCATGAACATACAATGTTTTAATGTAAACCCCTGTCTCTATCATCCCTTAAAATAATCTTGCATCATCTTTTAGATTACTTAAAAAGAAGCTATATCCCCCTCTAGTGGTCAATTCATGAATTGTTAATCAATACACTGGACTAGTTCTGCCCCACCCCCATCACCAGTTATTACTATCTTTTGTTTTGTTTTGTTGTTGGTTTGCGTTACAAGATAGGGTTTCTCAGTAGCTATGGAGCCAGTCCTGGAACTGGCTCTGTAGACCAGGCAGCCTTGAACTCACAAAGTGAGTTCTGTCTCCCAAGTGCTGGGATTAAAGGCCACCACCTGGGTATTACTATCTTTTGTAACATGTCAATTTTTAAAACATAATAAATTTTTATTTGTCCTTATTAAACATACAATTAATAGTGGCATATTCTCTCGCTCTCCTCGTCCCCTCATCTCTCTCTCTCAAACACACACACAGATCATACTTTGATTATATGATGTTTGTCTTTCAGACTGCATGGAATATGATTATTTCTGGCTCTAACCACCTTCATTGGGGGGGGGAGGTCGAGACAGGGTTTCTCTGTGGCTTTGAAGGCTGTCCTGGAACTAGCTCTTGTAGCCCAGGCTGGTCTCGAACTCACAGAGATCCGCCTGCCTCTGCCTCCTGAGTGCTGGCATTAAAGGTGTGCGCCACCACTGCCTCGCTAACTACCTTTCTTACAAAAATGGTTTTATCCTTTTCTTTTGCTCAACTGTTTGCTTAATTTTGAAATAGGGTCCCACTCTCAGCCCTGGTCAGCTTGGAGCTTGCCATGTAGCCCAGGCAGGTCTACAATTCTTGGTACTCCCATCCCATCTCAGCCTTACAAGGATTATAGGCAAAAACTAACGTATCTGACTTTCATTCTCATGGCTGGCTTATCCACCACTGTCTTTATATAGCATATTTTCTTTATTCATGCATCCACTGATGAGCAAATAGCTGATTTGTAAACGATTGTGAACAGTGCCTCAGTAAACAAAGGCATAATGCTATCTCTGTGCACTGATTTTGATTTCTTTGGAGAGATAGATACATAGATACATAGATAGACTAATTATTTCTGAACCATCTAATAATTAGTACTTGTGCATACTTACAAATAATTAGTATAGAAGACCATGTGTTTCTGTGTGCACCTGTCTGTACACATGCCTGTGCGGCCCAGAGGTTGGAGTTGGATTGTCTTCTTCACCGTCGAGAAGAGCTGGCCAGCAAGCTCCAGAACCATATCTATTTGTCTCTACCATCCCACACTACCTTGCACATGCACATGCACACACACTACCACAGGTGGATACTGGGAATCTGAATTCAGATCCTCATGCTTGCACAGCAAGCATTTTACCAGTCTCCCCAGCTCTGGTAGAAAGGGTTTTGACATGGTAAGTGTTGTCATGTTGCTTAAATTAGAAAGATGTGCGCTATGGAGATGGAACATGAACTACAGAGATTATATTAACCAGTTTATTACAGAGCGGGAGAGGGAGTGCGTGAGGGGGAGAGACAGACTGGGAGAGAAGAGACAGGAAGGTAAGAGAGCTTGAGAGTAAAAGAGACAGAGAGACGGTAGGAGAGCGAAAGGTAAGAGCGAGGATGAAGAGAAGAGTAAGAGTAAGGAAGCAAAGAGAGGAAGGGAAGAGAGACATGGGTAAGAGAGAAGAATTAGTAGTTGACCACCGGAAACAGAGAGAGAGAGATTAGAGGGATGAGGGCGTAGGCTTAAAAGGAGGAGGCTCGGAGCTCGCACATGTGCAGTCCTCACGAAGGTCCATACTGCTTAAGAAGTGACAAGGCACATCACTGTTCATGCCCGTCCCCACTGTCAGGGGGCGGGGTCAGCCTGGTGTTTCAGTCCCAACAGTGTTTGAGGAAAACATATACGAACAACCTTGCTATCTGATACACTGTTTATATACAATAAAATACCACACTTACTCCCATAAAATAGTTGTGCTATTTTAAAAAATACATATTAACATGCAGGTTTTTCTTTCTAACTCTGGATTAACTCATTTAATATGATACTTTCCAGATCCATACATATTCCTAAAAATGTCATTTTATTTTTCTTTACAGCTGAAAAATATTCCACAGAGAACCTCATTTTTTTTTATTATCCATTCACCTGTGGGTGGACATTAGGCTGGTTCCATGCCCTTGCTCTCACAGATAGCGCAGCAGTGAACATGTATGTACAAATATCTATGTGATATAATATGTAGTTCTCTGGTATACACCCCAGGAAGAGAACGAAGGGTCATATGGCAATTCTGCTGTTAATTTTCATGTTCTTCCTTATATAGAGATCATAGTTTATAATGTATCCATGTATATATATGAGCAAGTATGAGTATGGGTTTAGTATAAAATTTAAGGAGACCAGGAGAAGTTAGCATTACATGACTAAGGACAGAATGCTGGCAAAGGGGCATGAGTCATGAAAGAAGGTTTAGAGTTACTTTTTATTGAAAAATATTTTTTCATACAATATTTTTTCTGGGAAGGACTAGGGTAGGGGAAAATAGTTAAAATATAGTATATGAACTCCACTATAATTCCTTGATTCTCTTTTTTTGTTGTTGTTGTTGTTTTGTTTTGTTTTTTATTTTTGTTTTTCGAGACAGGGTTTCTCTGTGTAGCTATGAAGCCTCCTGGCACTAGCTCTGGGGACCAGGCTGGCCTCGAACTCACAGAGATCCACCTGCCTCTGCTGGGATTAAACGCGTGCGCCACCAATGCCCGGCTCCTTTTTTCTCTTTTTATTTGGATGAATGAATAAAATGTATTCCAAAGCACTCAGGAGGCAGAGGGCGGTGGATCTCTTTGAGTTCAAAGCCAACCTGATCCAGAAAGTGAGTTCCAGGAAAATCATGGCTACACAGAGAAACCTTGTTCTGAGAGAGGAGAGAGAGAGGAGAGAGAGAGAGAGAGAGAGAGAGAGAGAGAGAGAGAGAGAGACACAGACACCTCTCTCCCCACCCACCACACACCCCCA